GCAAAGTTGACAACACAAGCTTTCTAATCTCCTGTCTGAAGTAAGAAGCAGCCCTCCTGGAATGTGCACACGAACACCAAACCCGGCTCTTCTTTGTAAAGCAGTCCTCCTGGAATGAGCACACGAACTCCAATCCTGACTATTTACGCAGTTTATCTCCTGTATATATCTTCCCAAAGAACTCCTCATTCTTCAAATTCTCCCTTGATCTTTAATGCAGCACAGTTGACGACACAATCTTGCAGCAGACCCAAGTGAAAAATGCAATCCAGTATTTGATTTGGCTCTTTGATGTTTTCTTAATGATTGGCATATGAACAATGGAATGATTGAACTTTGATTCTTGTAAAGCATGTATTCTCTGTGAATAGTATGATGTTCAATCTCCCTTGCGTAAAAAGTGCAGCGCCTCAATATATAGGTTGGACGAAATAGGTTATATGGGCCAAGTAGAAATCACGGAAATAGAAAATTAGGTCTGGCCGAATAATATGTCACTCGAGCGAGAAGGCTGCTTCGCTCGAGCGACAGTGGGGCGAAGGTCGAGTGGGCAGTCTTTGTTTCAATCGCTCGAGCATCACTCCGGCGAGCGACTAGCAAAAAATCGACTTGAATCCTTCTTGTTCCAAACATGAAACCCCAAACCTTAAACTAACCTACCAACTATGAAACTTTACAATTTAGATGCAATGCAACATTCCAAGAGTGTTTTAAAGTGTTTATGAAGTGGGTATTGCACAAATTTGATGTGGGTGAAAAGATTTAGGAAGAATATGAGAGAAGAAGTTGGGAAAAATGTGAAGAAACCCTGAAAAATTAGCTTTAGAATTCAAAAATGACAGCCTATCGCTCGAGTGAAGCTCGAGCTATAAGCGAGCGAGGTAGCTTCTGCTGCTCTCGCTTGAGCGAGGTCGAGCGACAAGCTAGTCAAAATTAAGAAAAATAGCACCAAAAATTCAATTAAGAGCACTCCAAATTCAAACCATTAAGAAAAATATCACCAAAAATCTTCAATTGACATAAACAAGACTAAGAAAATTAAGAAAAATAGCACCAATTTTCTTTTTAAATAATACATAAAGTGAATAAATATAGCAATATAATTTTAGTTAAACAAAAAATCAGATTAAATAAATGAAGTGCTTGTCAGATCGATAATCACAATCATGCATGCATTCCCAAGCTGAGCATTATCATTAAAGACTTTCCCATGTACTCAATGAAGTTCACGATGGAGTAAATTATATAAGTGACTCATGCGTGTAAANGTTCACGATGGAGTAAATTGTATAAGTGACTCATGCGTGTAAAGTGCCACTATTTTCTCGTGAATATGACTCCAATCCTTAAATTTATGAGAAATGACATGCAAACATCACTTGTTAAATAAGTATGATCCCTACATATGAAAGTCAAACTCAAATGTAATATTAGGACCTGAAAACAAGCTCAAATACATGACATGTTTATTTTCTCCCCCTGAAAATGAGCATGTAATTTTTTATATCGCTATTCTTGTGAATTACATCTTATGTGCAGACTCTTGTTCATTAAGCTACTGAATTGACCCCTTAACGAGTTTTAGGCCGGTTAACCCAAGTTAGATGACCATAGGTACCAGGTTACGAGAAACCCCTCGAGCTTAATTGCTCGAATCAAATAAGCTCAGACCAAAAGTATAACATGAATCAAACATGTGTGTAATTTTTTTTTTTTTTGTTTAAGAAACAATGCAGGGAGACTCATCACGAGGTCACCTTACTAACATGTGACGGCCATCCTAAATCTCACACATGCGGTCCAGACTCACTCACAAGATCATAGTATGTGTTTTGCAAATGATATATGGTGAAACTTATACTCAATACTCCATAAAAATCGAACCAAGTGATGGAAATAACAGTGTAGATCTAATAATGACCTATTCGATCACACATGCAATATTGAAGAACATCATAAACTGTCTAGAGCCAAATTT